GAGGGGCGGGGCCGCTCCGGCGTCTGAACCGCCCAGGCGGCCGGCTAGGTGCGTCTCGGGGCTGACGCGGCCGCCGCGGGCAGAGCGAGCGGGCCGAGCCACCTGCGGTGCGGGCTGGGGCTTTTTATTTACTAGGGAACACTGTTTCCCGGAGGGGGGGACCGGGAGCGCGCAGCGGCGCGCACACACACGCGCGCGCGCACCGACACAAACGCTGGCGCGCCGGGTCTCCGCTACCGCAGCCCAAGCCCGCAGAGCGGAGCCGCTGCGGTTTATCTTACCCCGGGCGTCGTGGGGCGAAGCAGAACCATTGTGCATCGGCGAGAGCCCGGTGCCTGCGCTGCCACGTCGGGTACAAAACCACGCAGACCGCTCAACCCACCGGGTAAGCCAGACCCTCTCCTCGAAACCTGTTTGGGGTTGTTGCGTGCAGACCCTAGGGAGAGGGTGGGAGGCTGCTGGTGCCAGAGGGGAAGGGACGTGGCGCTGAAATTTCAGGAGCGCGCAGCCTCCACCTGCGTCGTCTAGTGGGAGCAATTACAACTCGGGTTACTTGTCTGCCAACCCTGGAGTTGCTCCCCCCTTCCCGCATTCCCCCAGCCCAGTGTGCGCTGTGTTCCTTGGTTGCCAAGGAGACCTGCTTAAACATCAGTCTTGGGACATCGATCGAAAGAACTGGTTTCTTAAATGATGCTGTTATGTATTTTGATTTTTAAAATAAGATATACACGGAGGACCTCGTGGCAATTTGACATCCGTTAATTTGCATTTAGGCTACGGTTTCATTCAACTTCAAGAAAAGCCGTAATTGCACTATATGATATGCTTTAAAAAAGGATTCGTCAGATGAATTTTTCAACAGATCGTGTCTTGAATCATAAAGTATCCTGTTCTGGTGAGCTTATAAAGAATGCTGATTCTAATTTAAATCTCTTCTTTCCTTCTGTTTCCAGTTGTGATTTGCAGGTGGCTTAGACATGATTATCTTAACAATTAAAAGAGATGATTTTATTGTGGTTCCCCACACCAGGATGATTTTCAGGTGTAAACTGACCAGAACAGGAGTATGCGTCTGTGAATTCCTCGGAAACAAGTTAGCATTCATGACGTGAATCTGTGCTAACATGTCTATATCTGCTGCCTTGTTACTAAATTGTAATTTTCCCCACCTCTGCTCATTTCTGAGAATATTTTGTTTTCTTTCAAACCTCTTGTTGATTTTTTGAGATATATCTATCTATTGATAGAGACAGATATAAAATAAGTGCAATGGCTTAATACTTTATTCTAAGCTTTTAGAGCTCCTATTACACATGGATTGTTTTCTGATGTACTGGATCCTTTACTAAAACACTTAGAGAGCCCACGAGAAGATAGAGTCCTTATTTCAAAGGATCCTCTAATACCCTGCCTGCCAATTTTGTTTTGAGGCCTTCAGTTCATAGTGGGTAAACTTGTAACACAGCTCTTGAAGTCATCAACAATCCAGTAATTATACTTTGCACTGATTTTATAGCTTCATCATGAATAGGAATGACTTAGTGAAGATTCACTGTCATTGAACAGTTCATTGTGTTTCTCTCTGATATCTGTTCATCTTTTCTACCTCTTGTTAAATAATGCACAGGATGTGATATTTTTTAATTTAGATTTTAAACTGTGCCATATGGGCTGTAATAATATGCGGAACAAGGAAGCCAAGTAATAACTGAGGTAGGAGAGGGGGATTTATGCAACTCACAGAGTGCTAAGAGATGAATTAGAATGACGAATGTTTTACATTATAGTTTGCGTATCTTCATTTATTTCTCTTTTTAATCCTCATAATAACCATGAGGTTAAGGAATTATCCTCAATGTAAAGGTTAGAGATCCAAGCCTTAAACCTCATGGAAGGTCATAGAGCTAGTGTTGGGAAAGCTTTTCTGGATTTGTGCTCTTCACCTTTAAAAAATGTGTCTCCATAAAAAATATGTGCAAGGGTTTGACAGTGAGATAGAGGAGCTGAGTAGGCCTGCTGACGGGGCAGGGACGGTGGGCTGCAGGCTCTCCAACAGGCAAACCCTCAGAAGGAGGGCAATTCCTACTGTCCTGGAGTTGACTGCTGCTGCCCAGCTCTACAACTATGGTTTTTCAACAAAAACAGAAGCTTTGAATTTTTTTATGTGAAGAGTTTTTAATTTCAAATGTGGGGTCTGAGCTGCATGTGGCCTGTGTGTGATCTGCAGGTTTGCAATCCTTAGCAACTGAGGTGTCACCCAATGCTAAGCTGTTATTCTCTAATGAAATACTGGTGTCTGAACACACCCATCATTATAACAGTGATCAAGACTTTTCCGCTTTTACTGTAAAAGTGTAATAAATGCTCTACATTGTTCTTCAGTAAACACGTCCAAATTTGTTTCTGAGGTTTCCTGCATCTGTGTGTTAAATCTCAGCAAAATCATCGGAGCATGAAGTGCTCCAAAATAGGAATTTTGAATCTGGTGAAGCCAAATCATTTATAATTTACTACTTCTTATGTTCCTAGCATATGGTTTTCTTGGCATAGCATTAAGGGGTACAGAAAAGTTCAGCTGAACATAGCTGTCCCTTTATAGCCACAGGTTCTGTGAATCGATTGCAGATCAAAAGCATTTGGACTTGATCTTAGCCAAAAGACTGAGAATAATTGATTCCTAGATATCTTTGTCAAGGAGAGATACAGCACAATGGCTACTTTTTGTTTTCTATACACAGTGTAAGGATACAGAGGGAAGACCGGAACAGAGATTCATTAGGAGACGTAGATAAGCCATTGGCTTTTTCTGGTGAACTTGAATGGGAGAGCTCTGTTTCAGGCTCATAATTCCTGCAGACTATTATCAGCCAACCAAAGCACAATAATGGAAAGTCATATATGAAGAATTAGATCTGCTTATTCAGATTCCTAAAAGCCTGTAAAAGGATAAAGGAAGCAGACATATTTGCATGGATCCTCAATGCAGCAGAAGGACCAGTGGACAGAGACCCTACAATGGAAGATTTTTAGCTCTTTGTAAGCAAAAACAAATTGCCAGACTGGAAAGATCTTAACTGGACTAGGATGCAGACTACTTCTTGTGGGTGAGGTACACCATTCCACTGGAGATGAGGAGTGACAAGCAAAATCTCCCAAATATTTTTCAGACCTAGCAGAAAAATCACACTCATATAGGACAGATGGACACCTGACTGGGAATTATCTATTGATCCATCCATCCGTCCATCTGTCCATCCATCCGTTCATATATACATACATATATTTCTTATTACTCATATTATTTTTTCCATTTATTGAGTTTGGTGTTTATATTTGTCAGTTATTTCCTCCTATTTTATTTTTCCTTTAGCCTTTAAAAATAACTTCGTAGGCTATACAAATTTTATCGTTTATTGAAAAATAATATAGCCTTTAAAAACTATACAGTTTCCTCTGCTTACAGATATATTACATATCATAGGTTTAGATATGAGGTATTGTTATTGTTACTTTTAAAAGTTTGTATATTCACCTTTGATTTTCCTTCTGATTTGTAACGTATAGATGTTTATTAATTTCTGAGTGCTAAATATTGTCTTCCATTTAAAAAGTATTTGAAAAAAATGTGTATGGAATACTTCTTCTGGTCATTCTTCATAAACAATAAAGCATAACAATTATTACATAACATTGATGTCTTATGAGGCATTGTAAGTGATCTTGAGGTTATTTAAACTGTATAGTAGGGTATGTATATCCTATATGTAGAGATTCTGCTATATTACATAAGGTACTTGAGCATCTGTGGATTTAGGTGTCTGTTGGGGTCCTGGAACCAGTCCCCTAAATATGACTGAGAAATAACGGTACTTCATTGTAAGAAGAGGCAGAGTAAAAAGTTGGTTAGAAAAAGGAGCATCCTGAGCTGTTCAATGAATACCTCTTATCAAGGCAATAAGTAATTAGTAGAACCCACTGCAAAATACTACAAGATATCATAGGAACAAAAACCATGGATCATAAAGGGACATTTAATTCTAGCACTGTGGCCTAGAAAATGCTGTTTGTTCCTTAAAATCATCTGGTAATGAAATAAATACCATTTGAAAAGCTGCTGTATTCTCATGTTTCTACAGAAGCTACAGAGATGTCGGTGGACCTCACCAAAGCAGAGTCAGAAAAGAGTTGTTTTATATATGTTGTTTCAGTTGTGCATTCAGGGAGATGTACTTTAAAAGAGGGTCCAAAGATGTGAACAGTAGCTTCTAATGGTTCTCTTATTCTAAAATCTAAAATTACCCTCTGAGAAGATGCTTTAGTAGTAAATAAAAACATTTCAGTTTTCATTTCATGTGTTCACCCTTGGTAAACAGTTAGGCAGATATTAGTACTTTGTAACAAGCAAGCCCTGGTACAATGGAAATATTGTCTCTACAAGCCCTGGTACAATGGAGATATTGTCTCTGCCCTTTAAGGATTCAGAACAAGCATATTGCTTCTGGCAGTAGCCTTTTTGAGCTCCTTGTTTATACTAGCTTGTTTTCCTCAATTTCCCATTGAAATCACAGTGTCCTTATAAAGTAGGTATTTTTTTCCATTTTACAGATGAAACCTAGCACTATGTAAAGTTGGACAAATAAAATAAAACTGTAAGCATTAGCCTCTCTTTTTACTTCACACATTTCTCTGCCCATTACCTGATGGAGATTGTAGATGTGTACATAACTGAGATTTTGAGGGAGCCATGTGTTCTACAATGGAATTACGATTTCACTGAAGCACAAATACAGAGAAAATTAGAAATATTCTGACTCTGGAGATTAGTTAAATCCTGTGTAAGAGGCAGATTAGTGCTGGGTTTGATGATTGGGGGTCTGATTATGTTAAATGAAGAGTTTTTTTTTACCTATTGAAAGATGGGAATATCTGCCAGACAGTCAAGTTGAAAATGTGAGTCGACAGGATGATGCTGGTGATAGCTGATATTGATGAGCTAAAGGGATGATGGAAGCTATGGGAAGAAATATGCTCTTCAAAGTGGAGCGCAGCAATAAGCTGGAACAAGAGGTGAGTGAACAAGAATAGAGGAAGGCAGGTTAGTAAGAGAGACTGGGAGAAGCCTTGCAGACGCAGAGGAGAATCTGGAGAGTGTAGTACTAATTCTTCTACAAGGTCTGTAGATAAGGACAAGGGACAAGCCATAGGTGTGTATTTTACACAGTAAATACAGTACCCATAACCTATTGTGTGTCTGGATTTGTAATATCCAGTGGCTGTCACATAACTGGTTTCATGAAATCACTTTTGTATGAGAAGAATATACATAGTTATTTTCTGTGAATTCAGTCATAGTGAACAAAAATATGGATTTTCAGGAAAAAGAAA